AGTGAAATATTTGTGATGGACTACAGATTTTAAGTACAAAGCTCTTCGCATTTCACATACACCAAACAGGCCGTTTAACCAGGGACATAAATACAAATATTCTGCTCATTTTTTCTGTGATAATCTACTTTTCTCTAGATTCACAAATGGTTAATTAAATTTGATTTAAGCATAGAAACACAAATATCAGGAACATAAAAAGCTGTCAGATAGAAAGTCAGCATGGCTCTTAGGCATAAAATGGAAACTGCTTTAAAATGCTTATTTTAGCCGTATAATGCCAAAATGGGACATTTAAACAGAATTTCTGTCAAAAAAAGATGTAAATGCTTTACTTTTATTGAGTTTGACAAATTGAAACCAGCAAACCATTCAGGAAAGTTGCCAAAGTACAGAATCTACATTTACGGGATTCATCTCTTAGGCCCGAGAACACAGTTATTTCGTAGTGCATTTCTTTTAGACAATAAATTCAAATTAAAAAAATCGCACCTGCTCTATCTTAAAAAGATTTTTACAGCGTAGTGTACTAATATTGATACAAATAATATCAAAATTATAGAAACTTCTACCGGTTCTAACTCAAAATATTGACAATTCTGTGTTAAGGGGGGCTAAAATTCAGTTTGACAGCTTCAGACATTCTAATTTTTGACCTTTTTTAACTGGACCAAATCACTACTTAACATAAAGATTCAGCACCCAAATTTTTTTACCATGTAATTTCATCCCCTTACTTAATATTTCATGCATAACATATCAAGAAATAAATTGAGAAAGTGTATAAAAAAAATGCAAGTTATACACTGTTCACACTAGGGACTATATTAGACAACGAAAACCAAAGGACCAAAGGACGATAACTGTGTCCTTGGACCAGATAGATTGAATGTTGATTGTTGCTACTTTTAGACACAATATATATATATATATATATATATATATATATATGTATAATAATCCAGGTAGACCAATTATTTCTGCCAATGACCACCCCACAGTGAAAATATCAGCATTTATTGACTTTCATTTAAGACCATATATAGAAAATATACCAACAACACACTATCTTAAGAAAATAGAATCCTTGAACCCTTGCCAACCTGATACAATCCTTGTTTAGCGTAATGTTACCTCTCCCTATACTAACACTCCCCATGACGATGGTATTGAAGCCTGTAGGGAAGTCTGGAACTCTCGCAACACCTTACACCCACCAACTGAATGTCTAGTCCAGTTTCTAACTTTGGTATTGAAATGCATTAACTTCACATTCAATGGTGAACACTTTCTCCAGATAAATGGAACAGCAACAGGAACAATGATGGCCTCGTCTTATGCCTATATTTGTATGGGCAAATTAGAACAGCGAATACTCAAATCTTCTCTTTATCAACCCCTCTCTTGGTTTCGATTCATCGATGATATAAACATGAGGTGGGATAATAATAAACAAGAACTCAATGTGTTCATTAAACATGTCAATGATGCCCATCCCTCAATTAAATTCACTTATGAAATCAATGACTCTAAGATCACATTTCTTGACACTGCTACGCAAGTGGAGGATGGAATTATCTTTACATCAATATCTTTCTTCTTTGAGTTATCATACTAAATATTGCACCAAGAGCATTCCCTACAGTCAGGCCATATGAATAAATCAGATATTTCGTCACGTTAAAAATGGGGCTACAGAAGAAAAGACATTGATCAAGGTTTATCTAGTGCTAACAACATCAGCCGAGAAGAACTTTTACAATATAAAGACACAAAGGTCAACAAACGAGTGCCGTTTGTGTTGACTTACCATCCCAAATTTGACTAATTATCACACCTTATCCGCTAACATTGGAAAGAAATTGAAAAACGTCCTAAACTATCCAAAATCTTTCCCAGATTACCTGTACTGGCTTTCTGTAGGCCCAAAAGCATTAAAGACTTGCTGGTGAGAGCTGATTTATCTTCTAAATCAGGCTCTTCGTCTGTGGGCTCTTGCAAGGGATACGGAAACAAACGATGTCTGACTGTCAAGCAAATACTGAATACCAAGATTTTTAAATACAAATATTTACACCATTACTAACACAATTCTATATTAATATTCTTGTAATGGTTAGAAAATACATCAAATAACACCATTACAAACTTAATCCCAATTTTATATTCTATTTTGAGAAATTTACCTGTGACGTCACTTATTGTGATGCATATTTCATAATTCTATTGTGTTGTATTTGCGTACTGTCGTAAATTAATTTTAGGTGTTCGTTATTATTCTGTGGTTTACATGTTGAAATGTACTATTGTATTATTCATTTATGTATTTCTCTGTCCTGAGTGTTCTTGCATTTATCTGTACTGTATTCCTGTCACGTAATGTTGTCATTTTAGCGGTATTTTTTAACATTACCATATAAGCGGGAGGTTTGGCTAGTCATAAAACCAGGTTCAACCCACAATTTTTTTTAAATGTCCTGTACCAAGTCAGGAATATGGCAGTTGTTTTCAAATAGTCCGTTTCTATGTATGTTGGCGTATGTTTTGTAGCAGTTTAGAGTTTCGGTTGTTCCGTTTTTTTCCTGTTACAGTTGATGTGTTTCCCTCAGTTTTGTTTGTGACCTGTATTTGTATCAGATAAATCGATTTATGACTATTTAAATTTTCCATCGCCCTGCTTGTCCGAATTTAAAGTATTTCTACTCTAAATTCAATTGGCTATAAACACAGAAATAGGATTAGTTGCTCGCAGTATCATAAAATTATTTTCTCTTGCGATACAATATTTTATTTTACTTTATTGTACAGATTTCTTCAATTCAAACAACATATAAATACATGTAATAAACATAGCAGCAACTGTATATATACTAATGTAACTAACTTTGATTCGACGTAATACATTTACATGCCAAACTTTAAATAGTACCATAAAACCCCACCCGTGGAAACCGTCAAAACTTTTCGCGTGCCTTATGTACCTAACATCAAACTTTATAAATAGAAAGTACTGTTGCAAAACTAGTAACAGAACCAGTTATACTAATTCCCATCTATATATTACTACTACAAACAGGAAACGGGAAAACACAATTTCAAACGAAATGAAATATATTGAACAGCGGTATACTTCTATTTCCTTTATTTTAACAGTCACTACATTGGTACGGAATACACCATATTTTGCTATGTTATTACAAATGCTACAGTGTAAATGTGGTAAACAGTATTGTCGGCGAGTCAGAACAGCCATTTCACAAACGTATGAACGGCCATTGTAGCGACTATGAATGCAAGCGAGATCTTCTTCTCAGTCAACATTTGAGCCACGCTAAGACAGATCTTAATCGACTAACCGTTACACTCATAGACCACACCACTGCTTGTCTAGGGAGGATAGACTTTTGGATACGAACATTTAAAATTTTGGCACCAAATGGGATCAATGAAAAGGTGTAGTTCTATTACATATTACTACAAGTCTCGGTTGCTATTCATTTACCTTCTGTCAACTCAGAAATTCCCGAATTATACCAGTTTAAATCGCAGGGTGCTATTCAACTCTAGATTCTACTGACGAGGAAACGTAACACTTGGCCACGTGTTAACGTTACTTAGTTACATATCTTGATAAGTCCCGTGAAGGATGAAAACACAGCGAGAAAATATGGCTCCCGGAGTTGGGCTTCAGCTGGCCCCTAAACAAACGTGTACTAGTTCAGTGAAAATGGACGTCACACCAAACTCCAAAACATTTAAATGAACTATAATCAAAAAGCATACTAGACTAACAAAGGCCAGAGGCTCCTGACTTGGGACAAGTGCAAAAATGCGGCGGGGTTAAACATGTTTTGTAAGATCTCATCCCTCCCCCTATACCTCTAGCCAATGTAGAATAAACAAACACACAGCAATATGCACAGTAAAACTCAGTTTGAAAGAAGTCGGATTCCGATGTCAGAATAGGTAACAAAAGAAACTAAGCAAAATGACAATGATACATAAATTAACAAGGGACACTACTAGCAGTTACTGACATGCCAGCTCCAGACCTCAATTAAACTGATTGAAAGATTATGTCTTCATCATATGTAAATCAAGCACAATCCCTCCCGTTAGGGGTTAGTATCATAAAATATATGAGAAGAACATAACCCGTATCATGCCAATAACTGGTTTTAGAATAAAAGTGTTTATTTCCGATGCAAAGACCCTAAGAGGGAATCAATATTAGTACCAAAATATGCCATCTTTAATGATCTGACAACAGTATCGTAACTATATCTCTTCTGAACAAGTCTTAAACCTTGTGTATTTTTGGAAGAAGATACAATCGACCAGGCTTGGCGTTATCTGATTTTAAATATCCGATTGTATCATCATCTATGTGAACGTCATTGTGCATGGTTTGTAATAGTTTTGGAACTAAACTCGGAATTAGGGTCATGGAGGCTGTCACTAAACGGGTACAGGAACTTCGCGGATTTTTGACCAAACGGAGGTTATAAGGGATCAACTCTACAAAGAAAACCAGCGCCCTTATGCTTGCCTAAATAAAACGGAAAAACCCATACGGTCTAGTAGTTGGTATTAAGCATAAACTGCTGAAACTGTTAAATCATTTATATAAAATTTCCAGTAGGAACTTTCCCAATATTTGCATTGTTTGAACATCGGTTAACGACTGTCACCAGATATAATATAGAGTGAGAAATACTGTCTAATATTGATATAGGTTTTCAATCAAGATTTAAACAAGCAAACGTTATATTGCATGTCTTGGACTTCTGTACTCAATCTACAGATGTGTACTTGAGTTCAACATTCAAACTTTCATCGTCTGTTCAATTTAAATTATTTGGCATGTTGGCTATTCGTGTTATGATTTTTGTTATTGCCTGTTTGTATATTTGGGTTTTTGGTGTTGCTTTTACTTGTTTGAAGGTTGCAATACATTTTATTTTTGATTTTGATATTTTACAATTATTTGTAATTTTTAGATTTGATAAACATGAGAGTTCCAGTTTTGGTGATTGCGGTTGAAGGTGATATAAGTACTATTCACCAGATAAATTCTGCTGTGAAACGAAACATTCCGGTTTTATTGATGAAAGGATCTGGAAAGGCAGTAGATTTTATCATCGATTACTTGGAAGAGTCCAGACTCTTGTGAGTTTTCATGTTTCATTGGCTTTGCAACCTTATAACAATATATCACCTGAAAATATTGTGTTGCATTTGATACATGTACAATTGTGGATGGCAGCTAACAATAAATTGTGTACCTTTACCATTTGTGTAATAGGTATTTGCATAGTTAAAAAAAGCTTATGTAAACAGTAAAGATGATTGAAAACATAATTATTTTCGCAGAAATGTCTCAAAGTAGACTCTTCTAATATTAACAACAAATATTGTACTTTCTAGGTTTGAATATTTCAGTTTCAGACGAGAAAGTATACAAGAATTAACACACAAGTTATGATTTTTCACTTCCTATCGTTACCTTAATTTTTTGGATGGTGATGTTCCTATGGGACCTTAATACACTATATATATATTTTATCAAATCGTTCACTATGTCAGAGTGTTTAATTTTAACGTTATATATTATGTTTAACTCGTTTATTATTAATTCACAGATTTCGCTACAACACATTACTTAAGAATATAAAAGAAATGTGGTATGAGTGCCAATGAGACAACTCTCTATCCAAGTCACAATTTGTAAAAGTAAACCATTTTAAGTCAAAGTACGGCCCTCAACACGGAGCGTTGGCTCACATCGAACAGCAAGCTATAAAGGGCCCCCAAAATGACTAGTGTTAAACCATTCAAACAGGAAAAGCAACGGTCTAATCTATATAAAAACGAGAAACGAGAAACACTTAAGAACCACATCAACAAACGACAACCACTGAACATCAGGTTGCTGACTTAGGACAGGTGCAAACAAATGCAGCGGGTTTAAACCTTTTAATAGGCGCCAACCTTCACCCTAACCTGAAACAATAGTGAAACATCACAACATAGAAAGACACACTATAACATATCAATTGAAATGGCTAAACTCAATCAAAAGACATATTAACAAAAACAAGTGAACATACACTGAACGAATAAATTTTATCTATGACACAATGTAAATACAAAATTTATAAAAAAAACAGGGGGTGAGATGTTAAACAATATCAGAAAAAAAACCATAACCTTGGACAAAATGCCGCTAAATAAAATAACGTACACAAGCCTTTATATTTCATAATAATATAATAGATACGTAGTTTTTGTTTGAAACACTAAACAAAAAACTGACGATTGCATAACATAAAACTCGGGTTAATCAGTGGTTTCAAAAGTTTCATGTGAGAGCTGCCAATTACTCCGTATTAACCAGTTAGTGACTCAGAAGTAATGGTTGTACTTAACAGTTGCCTTTATTGTATTAATCTTGTTCTTCTAGAAATCAAATCGGAGTTTCATACAATGGAGTTAACACCTGCATAGTCCGAATTACTTGTCGTTTTATTTTATTTAAGCATGTCGACTTGTTGCATATAATTTAAATTAAAGGAAAGTGTCTTCTTCGTATTATAACTCTGATTCTTTTTCTGATTTAGGCAATGACTTACGCCTTACTTGGTTTTAGCAGCTCTTTAACGTTTGTGTTAAGACTTATAAGATATGTTAGCTTCCAACTTCTTCAGTCTGAAGAAACATTAATTATTGAAATGTGCATTTGGTGCAATAAAATTGGTACTAATAATACTATTTATACGTAACTTTTTGTGACGTTGATACATTCGAAGTGTCCTGGTGTACTGTCGTAAATTCATGGGAGGTGTCCGTTGTTATTTTGTGGCCATGTTTATATGTTCTAATGCACTTTTATATCATGTACTCATGTATTTCTCTGTCCAGCCATACAACCAGGTTCAAACCACCATTTTTTTTATGTGACCAGGATTTGTTTTTGCTTAATCGATTTATGACTATTGAACAGCGGCATACTCCTGTTGCCTTTATTTGTACCAGTGGGTCTTTACCTCTGCTGGTGAACTGTTAATCTAGTTGAGTATTACTTCCCCAGAACCAGTATTATTTTTAATTGAAATTTGCTGTTATAAAATGCTTTACATCATTTAAGATAAAAGAATGCATCTCCCTCCTGCATAGCTCTAATTGCTTGTCTGGGCTTGGTAAAATGCTGGTCCTTTGTTTGTTTAATCAGCTCTTTAACGTATGTATTAAGATTTGGATTTTAAAATATTTTGGCTGCCAGTATTACTAGAGAGACATTGATTATCGTAATCGTAACATTAGTACCGTTAATTTTATTATGGTCCTTTGTTCTTTTTGATGTTATTTATACTGTATGTTACACTTTTTTCAGTGAAAAGGAAAAAGTATTGAAGGAAAACGCTCCTCTGCTATTAGGAATTTATATGCGTTTAGAGGAATACAAGATGTTAAAGAAGAGACTAAAAAGCATACAAGAACACAGTTATCTAGTAAGTTAAATAAAACAGGTTTTATAGCTCACATAGTCTTCCTCGTCCATCGTCCTCGATTGTCGTTACTGTTTGAAATATACCCGATTTCAAACAAACTTGGGGTGAATGTTTCTTAGTTTATGATGTTTAAAGCTATAGGAATTCTATAAAAATTAGAGTTTTTGACAAATTTTCATGTTTTTGATAATTATCTCGAAAAGTATAATAGATAGGGAGAAACTATAAACAGCGATAGGGATCACCAAAACAATATGTAAATGTAACCTTTGATCGAATCGTTACAAGTGTTATTGACCCAAAATGACAATTTCAGACTTTTTTTCATGATTTTTCTAATTATCTCGAAAACTACGATAGATATAGGTCCAAACTGTAAACAGCAAACATATGATTTACAATAATACAAATGAGACCTATTCATTGACAATAACATTTTGCCATTAATTGAAGATTATATCCATTTTGTATTACATTCTGGGTAGAATATTTAGAGGAAAGAGAGAAACTGTAAGCATAAACAGCAAAAGTGATCATCAATTAATGATAAAAAAAATATTTTGGTCATGAACTACATATTCTAGTATATAATATATTGAAATTAAGGCAACAGTAGGCAAAAGTCATAAACCGATAAAGCGAAAACAAATCCGGGTCAAGTTTTGAGGGAAACACATCAAGTATAAGAGGAAAACAACGGAACAACAGAAACACTGAACTGCTACAAAAAAAAAACACCATACATAGAAACTGACTATTTGATAACAGCTGCCATATTCCTAACTTGGCACAGGACATTCTAAGTAAAAATGTTGGGTTGAACCTGGTTTTATTGCTAGCCAAACCTCCCGCTTAAATGGCAATGTTAAAAAAAACCCGCTAAAATGACAACATTACGTGACAGGAATACAGTACAAATAAACGCAAGAACACTCAGGACAGAGAAATAAATAAATAAATAAAATGATAGTACAGTACAACATGTAAACCACAGACTAACACCATTGCCATTCTTAATGATACAAATAGATGCAGTTAAGCGGCAAATATTCTTTTAGAGCCCCTGTTCATCTCGAAAATGTGTTTGATCATGAATTAACTGAAAGCGTGGTGTATCTATTTTGCAAAGACTCAATTTGATTATGCTGAATTTCATTAATGATAATGGACAGGCAGTTGACCTGTTTGCTATGTTGAAGTGTACATTGAATTTAAAAAGAACAGAATATATTGATTTCTCTCAATATGGCTACAGAAGAAAATCAAGTTGCGATGTACAATTTCCCATATTTCGAATGAGAAAAGTGTCTTTCTTTGCTATATACAAATTTAAAAAGAAAAAAACAAGAATGTGTCCATAGTACACAGATGCCCCACTCGCACTATCATTTTCTATGTTCAGTGGGGTCAAAACTCGAATTTGGCATTAAAATTAGAAATATCATATCATAGTGAACATGTGTACTAAGTCTCAAGGTGATTGGACTTCAACTTCATCAAAAACTACCTTGACCAAAAACTTTAACTTGAAATGGGACAGACGGACGCACAGACAGAAAAACATAATGCCCCTAAGTGGGGCATAAAAATAACGCTCAAACAAAAAGAGACATCTGAATACATTTTTTAAGACTCGGAGAATCTTAAAAGTATAGTTTTATGTTGTTTTTTTTTTATCGCAACATATGCATGTTTAAGATTCGATGTTGTAAAAAATGGTTGAAAACAATATTATTGAAACGAACTAAACGTGATATATACATTAAATGCATCTATATGCAGCTATACGTACACAGACTTACACAAACCAATGTTTTAATAGACCCAATTAATTGAAGCGTGTCTTCAATAGCGTAAATAGATTCATAAAAAAAAGTTTCGTAATTTGAGAAAAAAAGGTAAATATATTTGCAAGTAACATATTAACTCTGGTGTATATATATATATCCTCGACAAACATGTTCAGATAGGTTGACTAGCAAACGCATATGATAAGTACTTACGAGACGTTCGTAATATATACGAGCGTCACTGGTGAGTCTTTTGTAGACGCGCGTCTGCGTACAAAATTATATGCATGGTATTGATGACGAGTTTATATACGTATATATATAATTTTCAAAAGAAGAGATTCTTTTTATTAACAGATAACCATTTTTGATTTAAACAATTCAACAAATGACCAGATGGAAGAGTTTATAGTGAAAGCTATCATCAAAGGATGGTCAATGAAGGATATAAAAAGTAAGTTTGAATAGACAATTTTTTGCCAGCCACAAGAGGAGATAGAAGCATATAACTTTGTTCTTGGATGTACGTCCTGAAAAATTCTAACATGAAGCGCAGAGACATATAATTTTACTTATAGATATGGGTTCAAAAAATATCATCTAATTAGTTGACAACTTGGGTAAGCCTCCGCCATATAATTGAAATGGGTCAATGGTAATCAACTAAAGAGACATCAAGTTAATTTTAACTGCGAAAACGTTTGACTTGCTTTAGCAATACGACGGATGCCACTTGTGGAGCAAAAGTTGTTTACCTTTCCGGAACACGTGGGTTCTTTCTCGGGTTTTGGTGGGGTTTGTGCAGCACAATCTTAGTTTTTCTGCACAAACCCCACCAAAACCCGAGGAAGAAACCACGTGTTCCGGAAAGGTAAACAACTTTTAATTATCTATTAATGTTGTTATCCTTAAGCTTTTTGATTGTCTCCTTGTTATCTTTTCTCTTTTTTTAAATATTTTTTTTAGCCCAAATGTATTTTTAGAGATTATGAAATCATACTGACTAAGGATATCTGTTATCCGAAATATTTATAGATTATGTTTTGTACACTTTTTATGCGTTTTTATCCTAACATCACTGAAGAGACATTAATTGTCGAAATCCGGATATGGTGTACAAAAATCTTTGCACCTTTGTTTGCAGAATACCATCTTTGCCGCAAGTTTATTGTTTTCTGTTTGGTATTAACTTTTTAATTAAGATCCATTTATTACACCTTGTGATCCGTTTATTTGACAATCGCCAATGGCAGTCAGCAGGGTTTAAGAACATTTGTTGTTCGACCTGTTAGTCAAATGCGTTTTGTTAAAATATACTTTTTCACTTTTTTGGTCTTTTGGAAAATGTTGTTTGTGCTGTATTTAGACCCCTCTAACAAGAAATTTGTTTTTGCATGCACACGTATAAAAATTGTGGTTTTTATCCAACGCAATCATAGGTTTGAACGTTGTTTTCAATTTAGACTTGTTTATATTTTTTCGTTTGGGCTTGTATTATATTTGCCTTCGGGTTTATATGATCCGTTCATCCTAATTTGACTCCTGAAAATTCGAGAGTCTATCCTAAATTGAGGTAAATTACATGGCCTTCCAAATACTGTTTCGATTCCTAACATCACTGAAGAGACATTAATTGTCGAAATCCGGATATGGTGTACAAAAATCTTTGCACCTTTGTTTGCGGAATACCATCTTTGCCGCAAGTTTATTGTTTTCTGTTTGGTATTAACTTTTTAATTAAGATCCATTTATTACACCTTGTGATCCGTTTATTTGGCAATCGCCAATGGCAGTCAGCAGGGTTTAAGAACATTTGTTGTTCGACCTGTTAGTCAAATGCGTTTTGTTAAAATATACTTTTTCACTTTTTTGGTCTTTTGGAAAATGTTGTTTGTGCTGTATTTAGACCCCTCTAACAAGAAATTTGTTTTTGCATGCACACGTATAAAAATTGTGGTTTTTATCCAACGCAATCATAGGTTTGAACGTTGTTTTCAATTTAGACTTGTTTATATATATATATATATATATATATATACAAGTCTAAATTGAAAAAAACGTTCAAACCTATATATATATATTTCTCTAATTCTTACCACATTTAACCTTTTCCTGACCTGTTGATTATTTTTATTTAATCAACGTGTGGTTGGTTTGATCTCAGTTCTTCATTGGTCAAAATTTGATTATGACGTCAAATTTTCTTGCTTTCCTCTGAATTTCCTGTTGTAACATAATGAAAAAAGGCGACCATGCATATATATATATATACACTTAAAATTAAATTCTGCGTACACACTAGTGGAAATATATAAAAAAAAAAAATAAAGTTCAAATGCTCTAAAAGTCCTTTAATTCAATACATTTTTCTCCAACCGGTTTCACATTTTTATGATAAATATGGATGATAATGTAATTTATGAAGTCAATGGTAACGTAACGTCACGATTACGAGTTCCATACCACAGTTTGAACATCCTCATTTTTTGACAGAAGGAAATATATCTTTTTTGTTTAATTGTGCACTGGTGAGTAGCTTATTTAAAGATTTTGACTGTCTTTTACTTTTTATAATTTTCTGTGTGGCAAGGGGTCTTTTAATTCTTTGATCTTTCATCAGTGTTGGTACATTTTGATAAATAATGTTATACGCATCTGTATTTCTCGGGTTATATGATGATACGTATGGTAATACTTGGTCCGTATTAAATACCCTGTTTTTCTGTCTTCTTATGTCTTGGATATCTATGACTTTTGCATGTTCTATTCCTTTATTAAGTAAAATTTTAGTAAATAATGCAGCTTTAAAAATCAATTAGGAATAGGCCCATCATGTTCAACAGCGGTATTTTTCAAATTAAAGGCGAGAGAAGGTTAAATTGGTTGAGCAGCTAGGCAAAGGAATTTCTTCCAAAACTGGTATTTGAACGAATATTCCTCATCTACGTCACATATTTTATTGATACATAGTCTTGTAGAATATACAATAGTTCACTTGTATCAGTTTGCGTTTGTACATACTCTTCCATAGCACTTGTATTAAATGACCAGATTACAACTTATCATCAGAGTTATATTGTTTTGAGCTTACCGTACTAGTATCTTTAACCAACAATTCTGCTCTAAGTATCATGCATTTTCCATCATATAACAGTATTGCAGATTAAAATTCATGATTCATAGTTAGAAATTAGAATGCCCAAATATTGATGTCACAATTTTATAATTAGTTTATTAATATATGTTATAATAGTTGAATCAGCGGACATAGAGGTATATTCACGAGAAGCAAGGCAAAACAATGTTATTATTCATTAATATTAACCTTTTCCATGAATGTATTAGCCTGTACTTTCTTATGGTACATAATTACACTCGAAAAGATATATGGGGAGGCTAAAGATATCATGTTTAACTCCGCTGCATTTTTGCGCCTGTCCCAAGTCAAGAACCTCTGGCCTTCGTTAGTATTGTATATTTGTAAATTTGGTTCAGATATATGTTTCGGAGTTTAATGTGGCGTCCATTACGCTGAACTAGTATGCATTATTTTTTAGGGGTCAGCAGAATATAAAACAGATGTTGTATAATTGCCAATGAAACAACTCTTCACAAGAAACCAAATGACACAGAAATTAACAACTATAGGTCCCCGTACGACCTTTAACAATGAGCAAAGCCCATACCGCATAGTCAGCTACAAAAGGCCCCGAGATGACAAATGCAAAACAATTCAAACGAGAAAACTAACGGCCTTATTTATGTACAAAAAAATGAACGAAAAACAAATATGTGACACAGCAACAAACGACAACCACTGAATTACAGGCTCCTGACTTGGGACAGGCACATACATACAGAATGTGGCGGGTTAAACATGTTAACGGGATCCCCCCTCTCCCTCTAACCTGGGACAGTGGTGTAACAGTACAAAATAAGAACGAACTATAAACATCAGTTGAAAAAGGCTTAACTCATCAGATGGATACACAAAAAAATACATCTAACAAAAACACATAGAGAACCTGCCTCCAAGAGCGGGCTGTTTTCCTCTTTTTAGTCGGATTGTTGTCTCTTTTGCGCATTCCCTGTTTCGATTATCAATTCTATTAAATCATCAACACTAGTTTTTTTTTCATTTTAATATAATTTTAGATTCATCTGAAATTCCTAATGATCCAACGAAAATTCCAGCAAAGACAGTTACAATGAACAACGTACAGACAGACAGTAAGAAATTTTCGTTATTCAACTGTTATTAATTATTTGAGCATGCTAGCTTTTGTACCAAAATTCGATAGGTTGCATATTACTCAATAAAATTCAAGCTGATCTAATCATAAACATAAGAACAAAATAATGAAACAATGAATGATACTTTTGTCATTCTTGCATCTTTTTTTCTTTATTTTGGACTTTGTGTACGGAAAGCTTTGAATAAAAAGGAATTCTCTTATATTTCCTTATATAAAAAAATATCTCTTGGTTTTTATACTACTTTAAACAATCAAAAACTCATGTATTCATTTATCACTCTTATCACTGAAAACGTCATTAAAATGAATCATGAAAAGACATATACGCGCGGTTCATTCAACCTATGCCAAGATTTTGAAATTTAGGTATAAAATTGTGTGAAAAAATGTTGGCATAGGTTGAATAATTTGTTACAGATTTAGCGTTATAAAAACATAAATTGATTATTGATTAGGGACTAATCAATTTACAACCAGTTTAAACTTAGCGTTAAAGTGTACTCAATACCATTTTTAGTCCTAGTGAAAATGTAGGTAATTGTATGTGTTGAGGATCTCTATTTCATATAGGAATTAATATAAAATTAATATCATAAAATAATGGAAAATAAGGATTTTGTAATTTTATCAAAGGAACAATCATCTATTCATATTTAATATCTACCAGTGTCATATAAAAATATATGATCAAAATGTTTAATTATATATCAAATAGATTCCTTCAATTACATTAACATACAGACTATCATGACTATAGCACTATTGAAATACATATTTCATAAATACTGACTCATGTAAAATATATATTTTAAATGTTCACTATTAAATCCTACATATTGACACATACTGAGGATAAGATAAAGTTCATTAATTTGATTGTCTCAAAAGTCATACCCTAATTAATATGTAGAAGATATATGATGCTGCATCTGGTTTAGGTCAGCTATCCTGTTGTCATTTTCAATGTACTTTCTTTGATGACGTTTACCACCTGCTGAGTACTGGATTATTCTAAATTAACCCAGTAGCTGCTTACTGTTTCTTCAGTATTTTTACCAAGTTGATGGCTCCGTCGACAAAAGCATGAAAGGTATACAGTCTTACAACCTCAGTGTTGACAGGCTAGTGAAACAGTACCACTTGGACCACTCGGTCACCGAGGCCCTATTGATATCCATTTTGGATTAGACTCTAATCTATTAGTGACAAACTGAATATCTAACTGTGCTTTTGCCATACTGACTTGCGAATCATGGATTTCTAAATTACAAATTAGCGACACAATAAATCTCACAACTGAAGTTAATAAATAAAAACAAACACAGAGTACTTTTGCTAAAAAAAAACTAAGTAAAGGGCGCACTTTCTAACTGGAAAGCCGCTGTCTAATAAATGAAGAAGAAAAAAATCATTTTATTTGATATTTATTTTAAATTTCATATTGCAAAATTAATTTGATTTAAAAAAAAAGTTTTTGTTAAAGTATGTTAATTTTGTATATGTTGTTGCTTGTTTGTAGCATGTTTCATATTTAATATAACAAAATAATGAACAAAAGTTATCATATAAATTTACAAATGAAATAGCTTTTTATCTTTTTTATCTCAAGTATGATATATATATATATATAAATATTCATTTTTTTTTACTATTTTTTCTATCATTAATTTAGTATTTAATTCAACACAATTTTGATAGTATCAAGTGTTCTATTTTATAATTTTTGTCTCTTTATTATTTTTTTTTTTTAATAAATTCATTTTTACTACAACACAATTTTGCAAATACTTTATATTTGTTTCTAATTTTTAAAAGAGTAATATTTAATGCTTAAGTTTACTGACTGTATTTTACCTGTTATTAATTAATAATGGTTATAACAACACCTATTGTATTTTGTTTGTAGGCATAGGTTGAATATATATTTATCAAATGTTGGCATAGGTTGAAGACACCATACGCGCTTTGTGACGAAGTCAATAAAGGTGATGACCAAAATGTAGATCAGACATTCCGTGTCAATTGTAGTCTTTTTTTCTACAAAATAAAATTAAAAATAACACAATTCTCAACCAGAAAAGCGCTTCGGACGCAAGAAGTGTTATTTCCATTCAATGATTTTATCAAAATTAATATTAAAATATGTTTAAGAACTAGCTGATATAAAGACTGTTGTTCAGGGGTATATTATTAAAAGGCAAAATCTATTTCTCGTTTATTGCAGTTACAAACCTGTTCGTGCATTTTTCATTTTTATTCAACGCAAAATAATTTTCTAAGAGACCTGGGACGATCTCATTCTATAAAGGATCTTTTTTGTTCACCTTTTGTACCTCAAACTTATTAACCCGGTGTAGGTCTTTAAGTTGGGGTTATATTAACTAAAAGCTAATCGGGCATGACTAATTAGACACGCCCTCTTATAATCAGGGGGTCCAAAATATGATCGTGAAAAAAACAGCCAGCGAAATACCATTATGTAATTTCAGAAAATTATGAAAATGACATATTTGCCACTGGACATTAAGGGAGCAATCAATTAATCAGCTGCATTTAGTTATGTATAATCATTAGTCTTTAGTTGATAATTGTCTCAAACAGTTTTCCAATTTTTTATACATTAATTTCATATTTGAGTTTTAGTAGGGAAGCATATTTATGTCATGTTAATAAATTTCAGTACATGTATCGAAAAAGCGGAATTCAATTTAAAATCAGTGCTCATCAGTTAGCTATTTAGAAAAGTAGATAAAAAAAAACGATAAAGATAAAAGATTTTGTAGGCAGTGTAAAAAATGCCGGTTGAAGACGAGTTTCATTGTTTAATGGAATGCACTGCATACATAAAGATAAGAAATCTTATTCTTAATGAAGCTTGTATTCAATGAAAAAACTTCCCTTTTGTTTCAAAGTACGAACAGTTTATTTGGTTGATGTCCTGTGAGTCTGAAAATGTTAATATGTCAGTGTCAAGATTTATCAGTATTTTAAAGGATTATTTGCATTCCAGAAACAAAATATGCACGTATTAGTGATGTAGTTTATTTTTTATGTATTAGAGAGGTTTCATATTCTATTTTATTTATTTTCGAACACCTTCTTGTATAACGTACAGTTATTTGATCATTTAGTTTTTATGTTACACATCTTAAAAATTACTGTATAAAAAATACTACATATATTAAATGTCTGAATAATAGCCAACGATAAATCTTATGGGGCGATGGATCATATAATTATGATACAGTACACTACAAAATATAATATACGATAAGCAAGTCTAGTACAGGGTACAACATCTCAAAAAAAAAATCTTGAACAAATGTTATATATTTCGGATAACTAATATCCTTCATCAGTAAGATCTCAGATGGTTCTATACACTATATATTGCAATGTAACTTGTAAAACCCAGAATGTTGTATACCTTCTTCAGTGTCGATGTGGCATACAGTATGTTGGCGAGACAGATCAGCCATTCAACAAACGCATGAATGGTCATCGAAGTTACTACACCTGCAAGCCCGACCTCCCCGTAAGTCGTCATTTGAGATCACCTGGGCACGCCCAAGCTGATCTCAAAAACCTTACCATCATTATCATAGTCCACAACGAGGGTTGGTCAAGGGCCGACAGACTTGCTCGGAAAAATTTTTGGATATGAAGTTAAGGACAGTTTCCCCAGAGGGCATTAATGAAAAAAGCATAGAATGAGTCCCTGTCATCACTTGTTTCCAGTAACTCAGGCTTCAGTACAGGACTCTTACAGTTTTAAGGAATTTATTCCTCCTCCCAAACATCAATTTTGAAAAAAATTACCAGCGTATTGATTCGTGATAATTTGTATAACGATCAAGATAACATTTGTTCATGATTTTATTTTTTTTTGGTGATGTACCCTTTTAGATTTGCTTATTACACTGTGTCTTAACTACCCCTGCAAAACATGTTTGGACTCGAAGGTATCTAATACCCGGTACGGTGACGGACCATCAACAGATAGAGAAAATTTAGGTTTATGTTTATTCATTTGATATTTTTATGATATCGAAGATTATAAATACATATATAACTATTTTCGATTGTGAGATGTAATATTTTCTACAACCGTTCTACATTAACGGAGAAATAAGTAAAAATGCACGTCAAGATGATGAATTGAGTGAACCTTGCCTCGAATTTGTGGTTTTTATTCAACGCAATCATAGGTTTGAAAATTGTTTTCAGTTTAGACTTGTTTATATTTTTTAGTTTGGGCTTGTATTATATTTGCCTTCGGGTTTATATGATCCGTTCATCCTATTTCGACTCCTCAAAATTCAAGAGTCTATCCTAAATTGCGGGTAAATTATATGGCCTTCCAAATACCGTTTCGATTCCTAACATCACTGAAGAGACATTAGTTGTCGAAATCCGGATATGGTGTACAAAATTTTTTGCACCTTTTGTTTGCGGTATACCATCTTTTCCGCAAGTTTATTGTTTTCTGTTTGGAATTAAATTAATAATTAAGATCCATTTTGTTACATCTGGTGATCCGTTTATTTGGCAATCGCCAGTGGCAGTCAGCAGGGTTTTAGAACATTTGTTGTTCGACCTGTTAGTCAAATGCGTTTTGTTAAAATATACTTTTTCACTTTTTTGGTCTTTTGAAAAATGTTGTTTGTGCTGTATTTAGAACCCTCTACCAAGAAATTTGTTTTGCATGCACACGTATAAAAATTTCGGTTTTTATCCAACGCAATCATAGGTTTGAACGTTGTTTTCAATTTAGACTTGTATAATATTATAAGTTATCTACGTTCATATCCGTAGATATGGATATTTTAACGGCCTGAAGTCTCCAAGTACACCCTGAGGCGAAGATATGGATATTTTAACACCCTGAAGTATCGAAGTACACCCTGAGGCGAAGCCGAAGGGTGTACAGGGTACTGAAGGGTGTTAAAATATCCGTATCTTCGGATATGAACG